TGCATCTTTTCTATAATAAGGTGATGAGAACTGTGCACAGTACAAGTGTGGCTTAACTAAAGTTTTATACAACTGAAAAATGACTTGCCAACTTTTATACTCGATGCCCCAACTGATGAAGGCAGCATGCCATATGCCAACTTTACCACATTATCGCCTTGCATTGCCACTTTGAGGGAACTATAGACATTCATCACAAGATCCCTCTGTATATCAATGCTCTAAGGGTCATGCCATTTATATATACTTTCCACGTGCATTTGCCCTCCCAAATGCATTGCTTCACACTTGTGCAGATAAAACTTCATCTGACATTCCTCTACCAAGCTTTCTAACTGATCTATATCCTGCTGCATCATTCAACAACCTTCCACATTATCCACAACTCCACCAATTTTCATGTCATCTGTAAACTCACTAGTTAGACTACTCACATTTTCATTCAAATCATTTATATATATTACAAACAGCAGAGGTCTCAGCTCTGATCCTTGGACTGGTAACAGATCTCCAGTCTGAAATACACCTCTCTACAACTACCCTTGGTTTTCTATGACAAAGCCAATTTTGTATCCAACTTACCAACTCACCGTGGATTCGAAGTGACGAGCCTACCAGGAGGGACTTTAAATGCTTTTGTAAAGTCAATGGAGACAACATGCACTTCCCTCCCCTTATCAGTCATCTTCATCACTTCCTGAAAAAAATCAAGCAAATTTGTGAGACAATACCGCTGCCCCCACACAGAAAGTCATGCTGACTATCTCTGATAAGTGCATTCTTTTCCAAATGCATGTAAATCCTGTCCCTAAGAATCTTTTCCAATAATGTCTCTACTTCTGATGTAAGAGTCACCAGTCTATAATTTCCCAGATTATCCCTGTTGTCCTTCTTAAACAATGAATCAACAACTGGTATTCTGCAGTCTTCTGGGACCTCACCTGAGAGTAAAGAGGATATAAATGTCTCTGTCAACGCCACAGCAATCTCTTTCTTTGCCTCTCTCAATCTCATGGGATAGATACCATCAGGCCCCAGGGAATTATCTATCTCAATGTCTTTCAAGCCACGCAACAGCTCCGCCTTCTTAATATCGTCATACCCTAGAAATCAACATACCGGTCCCTAATGTTGCCAATTTCAATTTCCTTCTCCCTGGTGAATACTGAAGTGAAGTACTTATTAAGGACTTCACCCACTTTCTCTGGTTCAATGCATAAATTGCTCCTTTGTCCTGGGCTGGACCTATACTTTCCTCAAGTGCACTCTTGCTCCTAATATACGTGTAAAATACCTTAGAATTCTTATTAATTCTACATATCAAGGACATTTCATTGCCCCTTTTAACCTTCCTAATTCCTTGCTTAATTTCTTCCCTGTTGCCTTCAAGTTCCTCCAGGCAATTGTCTGATTTCAGTTTCCTGAACTTTACATTTATTTCTTTTTCATTTTTGAGTAAACTTTCAATACCTTTTGTCACCCAGGGTTTCCAAATCAAGCCATCCTCACCTTTCATCCTCACATAAACGTGCTGGTCCTGAACTTTGATCAACTGGCCTTTATAAAAACTTTCACATGTCAGATATAGCTTTACCCTCAAACAGCCACCCCTAATCTAATTTCTCCACTTCCTGCTTAACTGTGTTGGAATTAGTCTTCTGTTAATTTAGCAGCTTCATCAAGTACCTGCCTTATTCTCATCCATAACTATCTTAACACTTACGGAATTATGAACACTGTTTCCAACATGCCCCAGTGTTGAAACTTTGATTACCTGGCCAGGTTCATTCTCCAGGATATGATCCAGTACGGCCCCTTCTCTTGTTGGACTATTGACATATTTACAAGAAACCCTCCTGGATGCGCCTAACAAATACTGCCCCATAGAAGTCCCTGGTACGAAGGGAGACCCAGTCAATATTGTGAAAGCTAAAATCTCCAACTATGACAACACTGTTGTTTTACACATTTCCATGACGCGCATACATACCTATTCCTCCATTTTCCACAGGCTCTGTGGAGGCCTACTTATAATACCCATCATAGTGATTGCACATTTCTTATTCTGGAGTTCTACCCATATGACTTTCCGGGATTGTCACTCCAAGATGTCCTCTCTTGGTGCAGATTTTTAACTCTCCTTAATCAATGATGTAATTCCCCTACCCCTTTTACATTACTCGCTAAAATGCCTGAAACATTTAAACTTTGGAACGCTGAGCTGCCAGTCCTGCCCTTCTCTCTGTGATGGCTACAAAATCGTTGTTCTATGTATTAATCCAGGCACTAAGGTAATCTACCTTACCTGTTATACTCCTTGATTTGATTTGATTTATTATTGTCACATGTACCAAAATATGGGAAAAAGTATTGTTTTGCATGCTAACCAGAAAAAAATCATAGCTTACATAAGTACATCAGGATAATAGAGCAGAAATTAGCATAAGTACACTTCAGACTGCCACTTCCACGCGTTGATTAACCTGGCCCTATCTGTTCTTCCTGTTAGACTTTCGGAACTTCTACCTTCTCCTCAATCACTCCACATGCTAACTGCCTGCTTTGTTTCCCAACCCTTGCCCGAATAGTTTAAATTCTCCCAAATGACATTAGCATATGGAGTACTAAATAATATTAGAACATAGAACATAGAACATAGAACATTACAGCGCAGTACAGGCCCTTCGGCCCTCGATGTTGCGCCGACCTGTGAAACCTATCTGAAGCCCATCTAACCTAAACTATTCCATTATCATCCATATGTTTATCCAATGACCATTTAAATGCCCTTAAAGTGGGCGAGTCTACTATTTTTGCAGGCAGGGCATTCCACGCCCTTACTACTCTCTGAGTAAAGAACCTACCTCTGACATCTGTCCTATATCTATCACCCCTCAATTTAAAGCTATGTCCCCTCGTGCTAGCCATCACCATCCGAGGAAAAAGGCTCCCACTGTCCACCCTATCTAATCCTCTCATCATCTTGTATGTCTCTATCAAGTCACCTCTTAACCTTCTTCTCTCTAACGAAAACAGCCTCAAAACCCTCAGCCTTTCCTCATAAGACCTTCCCTCCATACCAGGCAACATCCTGGTAAATCTCCTCTGCACCCTTTCCAATGCTTCCACATCCTTCCTATAATGCGGTGACCAGAACTGTACGCAATACTCCAAGTGCGGCCGCACCAGAGTTTTGTACAGCTGCAACATGACCTCATGGCTCCGAAACTCAATCCCTCTGCCAATAAAACCTAACATACTGTATGCCTTCTTAACAACGCTATCAACCTGGGTGGCAACTTTCAGTGATCTATGCACATGGACACCTAGGCTTCCTCCGATTAGAGTCACAGACTTAATTGATGCTTTCAACGTAAAACGTGTTATGAAATATTTTACATCCTTTAACATTATGAACACTTGGTGAAAATTAATGGTCATGGTAGTGGGTGTGTTCGTCGACAGTAAAGCCAATGGTGAGTCTGTTACTGCCATTTGTAGGAGTGCCATCAAAATGAAATCTCAATTATGCAATAAGATTTGGGATTTAGGCCTAATCATCGAATCCCTGCAATGCAGATAGATGCCATTCGTCCCATCGAGTCTGCACCAACCCACCAAAAAACACCAACCCAGACCTCCCCCCAACCCCACCACACCTATCCCCATAACCGCACAGTTGCCATAGATAATCCACCTAGCCAACATGCCCCTGGTAGTTACAGGGCAATTTAGCATGGCCAATCCAACTCAACTGTACTTCTTTGGACTGTGTGAGTTGAAACCCACAGAGATACGGGAAGAACATGTAAACGCCACTCAAGCAGTCACACCAGGTTGGCATCAATCCCAGGTCCCTGGTGTTGTGAGACAGATGAGCTAACCACTGTGCCACCGTGCTGCTCGTACCAAGACAAGCTTCACCAAGACAAGTATCCCACATTTTCTCAATTTGAGAAAACACCATCAGGCGCCAGCAAATCAGCAGTTCAAGCTGCGTCACAGTCGTAGGTGGTCTCTGGTACTGTAAGAGGCTTAGTCATAAAAATCTTCGAGCTTCCAGACGAAATTTTATAGAGTACATCAACCAGGACTAGTCAGGATGACACAGAAAAGTGGTTAGAGCTTTATTTTGGAGGCCAGGTTCGCAGGGACGTTTTTCATCCACCTCATGACACCTCAATTGGTTAAGTGTCACGATTAGACTGTGTCCCCCAACCTCTCCACAGACTTATCTGTCAGAATTCACTTTGCAGTTTACTTAAATGGTATTGCATATGCTTACTACTAGCTGAATAGTTGCCCTGGTGCGATCAAGCCTTTAAATTATCATGAAGTGGCCTTATAACAGTCCAACTGTTGGCCAAATAAGAATGATCCCCTACTTTCCATTTTGCTGTTACATTGTGCACCTCTTTGCCTCCCAGACCATCCCTGGGATAGCATTAAATTACATTCACTGTATTTGTTGAATATTTTCAGAAACAAGTGCAATTGTGACAAAGACTTTCAGCAATTAGTCATCACAAAAGACAATATAATAACTTGTTTACTAGGTGATTCTATTTTTCCTTGGCAATCACATTTTACAATGTTATGATAAAAAATAAGTTAACAGACGCTCACGGACATTCTGATCCAAATCCTACTGACCTACTATCCACAGCTCGAACATTTCACAGCTTCAGATATGCTTCGTTGATTTTAACACCTTGTGGAAATTTCTAAGATTGTGCAATACTTTCCTTCTTCTTTAAAGTTTATTGTAAATGACGATAAGTTCAATTGGCCATGGCTGTAAGTATTTGTGCGCATTGCTGTTAACAGGCAGTAAGAACATACAGCATAACTGAAAAGCTAATAGCCAAAATCTTGGTTAAAAGTGCTTACAAAAATACGCTTTATAAATAGAAGGTTTATTCAATCCAAAATGTCCGATATATGTCAAAACACGTTCCATAAATAATTCATTAACTTTAATTCTCTTTTGTCTAAAGCAGAATTGCCAAAAAGGAAGAAAATGCGAAATCCTGAACAGCACCAGGTAAATTGATATTTGCCTATTTTGTTACACGTGTTCTCACGAATGATATAGGTCAAAACGTCACAGATATTTATGTGCAATTGAGTTAATTTAATCAACTTACTTAGTATAAATTCATCAGTTAACACCACTGGAAAAACTATGATATGTTGTGTAGAAATATCTGAGCATACAGTGATCAAAGCAAAATGCACAGAAGCAGATTGAAACAAAAAGTAGTTTCAGGTAGCTCATCTCTCTTGTTCTTCCAAATGTATAGCAGTAAGGACTGTCATTTGAACAGTTTTTATTTTATAAAATTCTCAGTTTTAAGGATGGCTTAACACTTTCATAGGAAGAGGGAAATATTACATTTGAACAAGAGAGAGAGAATTTGTCATTCGTTTTACCCTTTCCAATTTCCCTTTTCAGCTTGAAATAATACTTCAAAATTTATAAGTCAAGAATTTTAAAGCTCCTCAGAGCAATATAGGTTCTGCTCGTGGAATTTGTCAATAGAAAGCGTCTCAGCCACTGTTTCCATTTGCAGAAGGTGTAAAGATCAATGAGAAATTGTGTGGTTATTTCTTAGTGTAGGCATTTACCCTAAGTGGGACACTGCAACCTATATACCTTTGCAGCAGCAGAAGCTTCAGAAGCTATCTCATCATCAGAATCTAACCACAGCATGCAATGATACAACTCCAATCACGTAAACATGATATAGGGTTACAAAATGTCAAATGGGAATAAATCTACCCATTTAATGTATTACTTTATTTTGTTACTCTGCAGAAACTGTTCAAAAATCAAATTAAGATTGAAGGTCCAAATTTGGCCTTACAACCCCTGAACCCCTACTGGGGACTTTGCAATATGTTGTAACATACAAATTTGGGCTTAATTAGACAATCTCAGCCGGAACGTTTGAAGGGATTGCTTGGATGGAGCTGTTTATTTTCTACACAGCGCCACGTCTGCCACCTACTCGCCTGTTCCTCCCACTGCCAAAATTGTAGGGGAGTTTGTGTCGGAAATTTGTGGGGTGTCTTGCTTGTTTTTGGGCCCATTGAGGCAGTTAGGTGACCACGACCAAGTGAAAGGAACAACATCAATCGGGAAGCATGGTAGCCCACTCCCCTCCTTCTCTGTGAATTGCCAAGCTGGCCCTGGCAACCCTAGATGTTCCTGTGTTCCTTCGAGTGGGGTGATTGCCTGGAAGCGGCAATCATTGCTGGGACTGCAGGTCTACCAGTGAATTTTATTGGACTGCAACTCTCTACTCATGTTGTACACCTATACCCATGGGTAAATGCTATATAAAATCATGGGAAAATTGAATATGAAACTCTCCTTCACCAATCCATGTATACGATAGATTATGGTTGACTTCACTGACGTGAAATTTCTTTTGACAAAGGCTCAAGGAGCTGATTAGGTTTTGTTTTTTGCAATTTATTCCCAAATTGAAAGGGCTACATCTATAATGTTTATAAAGTGAGGGTCGCCCTTTAGGAGGTCTCCAAGTAACAATACCCTATGTATGAATGTCACTGAGATCCATTTCTGTTGTATAATCACAAATACAATACAGCATTCGGTCAACATGAATCACATTCCTGATGTTTACTCCTTCTTTTCCTCATTTTTTACTCCAATCAACCCTGGGACTGTTTCAATAATTTTCTTTCAGTTCATACAATGCTCTACACCTCCTCTTTCTATCCTTACTGCATAAACGTAAACATACTGGACATCAGCTCGATTGTCAACTGTGACTTTGAGGAATTGTTAACTTCGATACTTGTTTCACATTGGCTTGATTTTGTGCACCACAATTGGAGGTCGATACAAATGCTAATTTTATTACTGAAGGGAAGGATGAAAATAGAGTGTCACGTATGCTCTCTACACAAATTAAATGAGTGAAAGAATACCTTACTTTGATAATGATACTAGCATAATTTTCCTGTACTTTGTTCAAAGCTTGATGATGCTTACCATAACTGCCAGGGTAACGAAGCCAAGCCAAAGAAACAGCATCCACAACCTCCAAAGAGAAACATGGAGTAGATTTCCCTGTAGATCGTTCAGTATCAGATATTGATATCAAACATCCAACCGTATCAAAAGAAAATGTAAGATAAAAAGAAACGTACTACTTTCAACTTTTGAGTTTTGTGCGTGGATTAGTTGTTGACCATTTATGTACAGTATATGTCGTATGAAAACTTAAATATGTGAAATCCCTTCTTTTACAATTAATTCTTCTTCAATCTTTCATGTGCTGTTACCAATGAACAATCTATTGTCAGCAATAATTGAAACAATTAATAATCAATGCAAAGCTGCATTCCACAGAAATTCTTCATAATAACTAAATATTTGAAGAAATTACACATATACATGCTTTATTTATTCCATTTACTGCTTGCATTTTCTCGATGCCATATGAGTTTTTCTTATTAATCTCATGCTACAAATACTTACTTCTTAGACTTCTACCTCCTCCTTGTACCATCATATTTTCAAATCTGGCTAGGTCAATGTCCTAATCAGTAGTTTAAAATCATTCTTCTAAATACATTAGAATTGTAAGGATTCTCGATTCTCTCAGTTCACTCAATCTGCTACAAGACAAAGGCCTTTAAAACCTAAGTTTGCCACCAAGTAAACACTTTACTGAAGTTGCTTAACAACTTTGATATTGTGAACTCTGGGTTTTAAACATATATTTCAGCTTCCACACAGTAAAAATAGTTTCTGTCTATATATGTTTTGCTGTGTGTTTGCATAAAAGCATAGCAGATAACATTCAGCACTGGCGTCCAGAAAGATACTATGGGTTATCTGCGGATTTTCACTCCTGACAGTTGTTAATGGAGAAAGCATTTCATGGGCCAAGCATTTACTAGTCAATCTAAAAGATGAGACCTGGGTAATGTCATACTAAACTGGGAGAAAGATTACAATGGAATGTGTTTGTCAAGAAGTTGCCTCTGACTAACAACTGAAAATATGAAGTATAATAAAACGTAGAGTCGAAATGATGTATATCCAAATATCCTCTCTTGTATCAAGATTGAATTTTTAGAATTTCCAGAAACACATATACAATCTACAAGTAAAGCAATAAATTAAAAATAACTGGAATTTGACTAATAACCATGCATTTTGGTAGATATGTATGCATGCCCTGAAAAGCAAAACATACCAGATTGCTATTGCATGCCCTGTTATTCTAAAATTATTTCTTGTATAAAACAGGGCTTGAATGAGCTTGTAGAAATTTTCTTTCCATATTTCAGTGCAAGTGTTTATGGAGATCAAACGCCACAGGAGATAAATTAATAATCTCTGTGACTCATGCATAACTGTCTTATTCTGCAACAAATGTGTGCACAAAAATAAATATGAGACTGAAATGCAAGTTTAACTATACGAAGTAAATATGTACTTCCACAATATGTAAAATTCCAGCCTGTTCAATAGAAGTGCAAATCAGGCCATTCTTTATGTACTTTTTCTTTATGTCCGCATTGCATTTATTGCTATACAGTTGAATCATTGCAGCAGATGCACCATTAATTATATTATATTAATTAATTTTTGCAATGCTGCTCATCGAATAGTCAGCATCTCAGAGAAAGTCTCAAGTTGAGTGGGAATGAAAGTAAACACCGAGAGTTAGGTAGCAGTGATGGCGGGATGGGCAAAAGAGTCAAAAGTAGGTTTACTGAGTGATATCAGGAAATAGCACTCCATGCTATTGAATATAAAGACATTATTAATTTTCTAATTTCATTAGTGGAGACAAATAACACCCCATGCGGCTGAGTATTTAATGATCCTTTATGTCCATCAGTCGAGGTCAAAACAATGGTGTAATTCGAAAAACGTGGATTATTGCAAGACAGGAGTAGCTTTTATATAATATTGTTGTGATGTGGCTATATGACTCCTTCATATCAAATATTCTCTTGGGAAAATAATTGGAATTGAAATCTTTTAAAAGAACGAGGAAGCAAAATGTTTATAATTGTGTAACGACTACCTTAGGATCGGGACATTATCATTGAATAAATAGCCATCTGTGACTGTTCTCGAACAGTTCAGTATTGTACTGAACATGAAGGGCATCATTTCATCTGCGAGGGATGATGGGATTGCAGTGTCATTTTGATGAGGTCACATGAGCTTTTCTGTGTCACTTATTCCAAGGGCAAAAATTAAGCCAGTGCTGGAAAAGCAATGTTTGCCATATGTGTTACATAAAAAGTTATCTCTCACCAGGGGTGTGGGCTGGCCTCTGTTACACTATGTTTGTAGGGTTGACATCCGCTTTGGAGCTTCTGAAACCACGTGTAGCGATGAGATGAACTTCTGCACACAACTGGGGTGTCGCCATTTTATTAATCGACATATTTTGTAATTGATGTAGGAGGTTTTCGAGTCTCTTTGATCACATCTCAAGTCAGAGCTCTGGAAGTCCTGAAGGTATCTTGAAAAGGTTTAGCTCCACTTATAGCATATCCCCGAGGATGTGGCATTCTTCCGTCCTGCAGAAATTGTCAAATGAGCTAACTTTTATTTGCTTAATTGAAACTAGCATATTTTCCCAAGAAATGACTGCTGGATTTGGTGACTTTGGTTTTCCTTATGATCCCAAAATCACAGAGTTGGAAATTATTGGGATTTGTAAGTTGTCCAGGCCTCATTGCCACAAACCATACGCTGAAGATGCAGGTGTTAAATCAAATCGATATATTTCTGTGATTGTACAGTTAGCAAGGAAAATTGTGACTGTCTTTATAATTTGATTGTTTGCCTCTGTAGATCCAAGATATCAGAATTTTCAGACTACTTCTGTGGTGTTGCTCAGACTGATCACAGGCAAATGCATGCAACGCTGTCACTACAGTTTTCTTCACAATAGTAGTGAAGGAAAATATGACACAAGCATGAGACAATTCGTCCATTAGGCTTTCACGCTAGTCTTCCACTTTGGGCAGTGAGTTTTGCATAATCAGCGGACAAAAGATCTTTGATCAGGTATACCACACCTCTGTCCTAGTTTTCAGTTTTGATAGGTTTAGGAGTTTTGCCTCTGATCATTTGTGTAGGTGCACATTTTCATGGCCGCAGATAACTAATAGGGAAGTGTAACAGAAAGAAAATATACGAAAAACAGTGCAGGGCCCAAACTACAGAACTGTTTCTCTTCATTTTCTGCCTGAACAGTCAAATGTGTCGTGAAATTGAATGGTACCTATGATTAAGGAGAAGGAATATGAATTCAATCAGATCCTGAGTGATACGACCAACATTTGAAGGCTATTGGTTTTGTGAGTACCTGCAGTGTATGTTATCACAAAAGGGGTATAAAACTCTTCAAAGCTTTGTAGCATAGCTGATCTTTTTCTCTAATATCATCACTAGAGGCTGAGTACCTATTTTGCCTGCCCTAATTACGGTGACAAATCTTATTGTGAAATCCACAAAAAGGAAGGTAGAGTTTTGTTATTGCTCTCTGCACTTCTCTTGAAACTGAGTTTGTAAGAATTTCGTGTCTCCCATGGATCTACTTTTCCTGAAGTCACATTGTGCCTTCAAATATATTTCCCCACGTAGTTGATGGAGCCTCGCTGGTATGACTGTGGCAAAAGCCTCATCAGTGTTGCTCCCCAGTCATTGTGGAATTTCTTTAATGCTCAGGTGTAGGCTTCCCCATTGTGTCATCTTAATTATCGTGAATTTCTTCAGTAAAATATTGTCCGAACTTAAGTTCAGTTTGATCGTAATTTGGGCCCAGAGAAAAGAAAAATCGATTCTGCAAAATATCAACATGAATCTGATTTATTTTCAAATTGCTATGAAGCACATCATGATTTGGACTTATTTTATGGTCACCTTGTTATGCATCAGTTCATTCATTTATATAAAATGGTGATTGACAATCTATTGATTTAGGTTTGGCTGTTCGGTGCTGATTATTTAATTAATTTCTACCCATCACTATCATATTCAATCGAGAACTGTGTCTGAAACAAAACTTAGATCAAATACTGTCTTACCAATCTCCAAATTCATCCATTTTGAGCTTCATATTAGTTGGAAATGTTGCATATATACATTATTATATTTGCATAAAGGCATTGATTCTGACACCTGTCAATAAATCTTCTTTTGATAATTAATGCCTATATTCGCAATTGTCCTTCCCCAGCTATCTGGCCGTTCTTGCATATATTTTCTTTTCTCCCCTCTATCATGTGAAATTCTCAATGTTTTATAGGTTAGAATGTTGAAGCCAAAAACAGTAAATTCACATCATGACAAAGAATGCTGATAGTGTAAGCAAAAAGCTGAGAAAAAGAAATGAAACATCCTGAAGAGTAAAGCTGAAATGTTGGGGCCTTTTTTTTTTGTAAACTTTATAATGCTTCTGTAGAGTTCCTTTGTATGTGCTATTAGGTCAAAGGTTCCATTCAATGGCAAGTTCTTGTCTTTGATGAAATGTACTTCGTTGCGCTGTTTAGCTGAATAGAACTATGATATAAGCAAAATGCTAATTCTAAAATGTTACGTTTCAAATGTCTCTTCATGCTTGAAAACTACAGGATCAAAATATAAATGTTTTATTTTAATTTCACTTCAAATTGTCTCAAAAATATTTAAAGCATCAGTTCAATACTTAGAAATGATATTTCTCAATCCATCTTGGAGATTGCTGTTGTCTGCAATAAGCGGTGGAAAACATTACTTGAATAACAGTCTTATATGCAATATTGTGGTTTCTATTTGTTCTGAGTCAATGACACCCACATGCATTGCAGCATATTTTGAACGTTTGGTTTTTATTTAACTGCCTTGCAAAATATTTTGTTGCAGTGTACATGACAATTGACCATAGTTTTTAATCAATCATGTGCATAAACATGGTCTGTGTGATGGTTAAAGCTTTCAGTGTTAGAGTCTCATCTGGGCGTTTGCAACAAAAAAGGCAGCGTGCAAAAATGCTGGTCGGTTTAATTCCCTGTAAACTCAAAACCACAAAGATGCTTAAACCTTTCAGTTTAACTTAATCTACTGGTCTGAAATGATACTTTAAAGGTGGTAGAACTTTTATGGTCCTGATGTGTATTGGAAGCTGTGATGTCTCTATTTGGAGCAGAGCTGAATCAGGGTATGTTTCCTGATAATCTGTTTTTTTTTTAAAAGATCACTCTCAATTCACTTAAACAGCACTTTTGATATTTCACTTATTGGCCTTATGGGGAAATAAGACCTCACAGCTCTCAGGAAGGGAGTAAGGAGAGAAATGAAAGAATGATCTGCGTTCATAGCGGATGTTGATGGGATTTGATTTAAATTCGGCCAGATTGGCTACTAAAAGAAGTGACTCCGCATAGGCAGTTGTCCCAATCTTAGTAATAAGGTAGCTATAGGAATTCTCACACTTGTTGTTGGAGGCAAGCGTGGAGGACACAGGGAAAAAAGGCTTCAGTGCAATAGTTAAAAAAGGTTATTGCATTCCAGGGTGATTCTGGAACAGACAAGCGCATGACACGACATAACGAAACCACTTATCGAGCACATGTTTTCAATTCTGTATGCCTTAGATTTAAGGAAGCTGAGATTAAGGCCAAAGCAAGGGAACAGAATGGCTGAAAGAAAGTAGTGGTTTTATTCAGTGCCACAACTTCAATGGTGTAAGTAAGGGTATGGTTGATAAAATCAGTTACTCAGTTGCTGAAAAAATTGATATGGCAATGGAGGTCCAACGGTGTAGGGAGATCATGGACTTCGTTGTCACTATGACTGGAGCAGCACGGGATGGTACAATGGCTCAGTAGTCAGCACGGTTGTCTCACAGTGCCAGGGGCCTGGGTTTGATTCTAAATTTGGGTGACTGTCTTTGTGGAGTTTACATGTTCTCCCAGTTTCCGTTGGGTGCTCTGGTTTCCTACCACAGTCCAAAGATTCACAAGTTAGGTGGATTGGTCTGCTAAATTGCCCCTTACTGTCCAGGGACGTGTGGGGCTAGATT